TTTCAATGCTTGGTATTTACATATTGGCTATAGTATGAAGATTATTAAGTACATTTCTCCAATTAATAATCTGCGATATAGTCAATTACTAAACGTACGTGTGGATTTAAATGACAAAAAACACTTTTATTGACTTAGATTAAAAACATGGTTATTGCATTGGTTAATTCATTTTTCTTGTAGGAGATAATATAATTTTGTTAAAAGTGTTAAAAAATTGATATCTTTAAATTTGTGTAAATATTCGTTTTTGTTATTATTTACTTTTATTATGGCAAAAACAATTCACATAAATAACTTGTTTTATTAATCTAACAGTACACAACTGACAATATTTACATGGTTACAAATATTAACACCCAGAATGTATAGTTAATAATAATAATAATAATAATAATAATAATAATAATAATAATAATAATAATAGTTATGTATAGATAATACAAAGTTTAGTTCTCGAATACATAGTAGGTGCTGATAATTTTAATTTTCTTATAAAAACAAGCACAGCTAGTTTTCTTTTTCTGTGAGTACGTCTCATCACTAATAGAAACAAGGAAAGAGTTGGATACAAAAATTGAACCTTGCGGGAACTTGTAATGAATGGGTGTGTGACATGAAAGATCCGTAATTAGACTGCCGATGTCAATAAGATATCTATACTCTTTGATCGATTGCTGAGGAAGCTAATACTGTGCGACTCATGCACGTAATTTTCTTTTTAAACTAAATTTGAAAGCAGATATTCGATGTAAGTAGTAGTTCTTAAAGTAGACTGTATTTTTTAATTACTATTGTACGATTATCTTATTAGATTGTTGCGGATTATTTTATAATACGTAATTACGATACAGTTCCATTATAGTACAGGTTTTTGAAGAATTACAAAGATGTTTTCAAAGTAAGCACTGAGGCGTAATTAATCATGGTCAACGTTTCAAAATTTATCCCTTTTCATTGTGTACTCACTTACTAGAATTGCAATGCCGAGACGAACCGCGGAGAATTTGCTTACAGCCTTAAATGAGCAAAAACATTCAATTGAAGTCCATTAGAATTAACATTATCGGTGTTACGTAAAGAGACAAACATGAAAATTAGGTTCTACTTCAAATAGTTTATTCTAGTGATCGTAGAAAAAGTAGAGCCTACTCTATGAAATATAGTGGATGTTAAAATTTAGTATGAAGTTTACAACGCTCTGTTGTTCTTCGTTCGTATCAAAAAATGCTTCATATTCTTTCGCTATTAGTATTCATTGTATCCTCTTTTAATAATGCTTCAATATTATTTTACCCTAATATTCTACAAAATTACAATGCTACAAATGTACGCTTCGAGAGATTAAAGTTAAACATTATTTCAGCATTGAAACGTTCTCTATGCAAAGCTGTGATGTTAATAACGTTCAATAATGTAAATTTTATTCAGTTTATCCGCGTGTCAAATTCACTACATTTAATTACGATAGTTGTTTTATTGATACACGAGTATATGGTTATTCTATTGCTTTAAAAACGCATTAACTATATAATATTATACATTGTAATTATTAAATAGATGTGGTACCACCTAGTCTTTCAATGCTATCGATGCCTATTTAGCAACTAGTTACAGGTATGCCAAACCGATAATTTTCAAGGATAAAATTTAAACCGTAATTGATTCAAGATTCAAATTCTTGAATGTCCTGTAATAAGAAAAATGGGTGAAACAGTCACTGATTTTTACTGACTTTTCAGTTCGTTAATTAACACCGTTGGAACTGAGTGGAAGTGAAATTAACATTTTAAAAATATATATATTGCTTCTTGCTTAAGTTGGTCTTTCGAGGTGACGAAGATACACATCATTATACCGAACACTGAGTGCATGTAAAGGAGATGAAAACATGTAAATCTAGATTAGTTGTCTTATAATGTGAAATTCAACTACGAATAATTTTTAAGTAGGAACGTGTATGGAAGAGAAATAAAATGATGGGGATTTGAATCAAACTTTTGGAAATATGGCAATAATGGAGGTGTAGGCTAATGGGGGTGCAATAGGGTGTGTTGTCGTTTCTACTCACGTAGTAAAATGTAACATATGCATAACCTAGCCAATTGGTAGCAACTCTTCCAAAGAATAAAAGTGTTACTAAAACTGCGGCGTTGCGAAAAGTCTCCGTTGCGTTCCTCTTCATTTGGTGCTCGCGCGCCGCTGGATGTTCTGAGGTCCCCGCGGACACAAATTTTCCATCAGGCGCAGAGGCTCGCCGCCTCCGATCGTATTGGCTCCTCTGATGACTAAATATTAGCCCCATTATTCTCCACGGGGCCGCGGGCGGTCCGGCGCAGGCAGCCAAGCGATTCACGGCTGAAGAGCGGAGAGATCGAAGACGGGGGACTGCTAGGGTTGTGAGGACTTCAGCGGGCAATGGCTGGGGACGTGAGGACGTCGGCCAGTGAGGACGACTGAGGAGTTGGGAGTGTGAGGACGGGTGAGAGTGTGAGGACGGGTGAGAGTGTGAGGACGGGTGAGAGTGTGAGGACGGGTGAGAGTGTGAGGACTGTTACTACTGAGTAATTGTTTCCAATTTCCATGAAATAAAATAGAATTTGTTGTGTTGTAAGCTTTTTTTCGAAGTTTTTCGGTGTTGAGTCCTCATTCATTCTATTTTTATTAGCATTATTTGGCCATTTTTGGTACACGCTCAGGGCTCATACATAGGGACTTATTGACAATTTAAAACAATGAGTTTGAACATTCCAAATATATATGTGAAAGTTTTTAAATGGTTTGAAGCATCCTTTAGACGTGAAGATCTTAGAAAACGTTACGTGAAAATATTACCAACATGTTTCAGAAGTCCTAGCTCAGCTTCAAAATCATTGACTGTACCTGGGTTTTCACGGTATTTGGTATTCTTTCATTTTCTTCTATTCATGATGGCGCTAGTGTATAAATGGTAGTCGTTGTGTCGTGGGCCATGTTTATGACTGAGCGACGGCAGTATATCACACGAGGAATGTGAATGAGAAATATTGTTACAGAGAAAAAGAGAATACAGTTAAGTTACAGAGAGTTAAGAAGTTAAAAGTTACAGAGATTGAAATGGTGTATATGAAAGTGTTAGTACGTTGTTTATTTATAAATTTTGGTGATGCTGATATTTTTAGTACAACTAAACACTTCATCTGAGAATGTCATTGAGTAAATGATCAAAACGATAACGATTATGATGACGTTGATGAAAGGTGGCATTTACTATGACTCTTTCGTGACAACAATCACTGCGATGGTAAAGGCTAATAAATGAAGAGAAATCACACGCGACAACGTTCAAAGAGAAAACATCTGAGAACAGCTTCAGCCTCCACAAATCCAAAACAGTACTTCCGCGACTCGACTCGCAGCAGTCAACGAGGGGCGCGGCGCGGCGGCGCAGGTGTGCTCTGTCGAGGGCCGCGGGCGCGGGGGCGGCGCTGCGCGGGCGCCCGCCCTTTGGCGGAGAGTCTATTTGCAGGCGGCGACGGGACGCGGCGCTCGCGCCGTCACGTCGCTCCGTGGGACGACGACCCCTCCCCCCTCGCTCCACATTGCGCCCCCGTCGCTGCCGCCCCCGTCCCCTGCGCGCGCCCGCGTGCGCTTGCTGCGCCCCGTCGCTGCCCCCCCGTCGCTTTGCCGCGCCCCGTCGCCTGCCGCCCCCGTCGCTGCCGCCCCCGTCAGCTGCCGCCCCGCCTGCCGCCCCCGTCGCTGCCGCCCCCGTCGCTTGCCGCCCCGTGCCGCTGCCCGCCCCCGTCGCTGCCGCCCCCGGTCGCTGCCGCCCCTCTCTCACGTCGCTGGCCGCCCCGTCGCTGCCGCCCCGGCGCTGCCGCCCCCGTCGGCTGCCGCCCCCGCTTCGCTGCCGCCCCGTTCGCTGCCCCCCCGTCGCTGCCGCCCCGTCGCTTGCCGCCCCCGTCGCTTGCCGCCCCCGTCGCTGCCGCCCCCGTCGCTGGGGCGCCCCCGGCCCCCCCCCCCCCCCGGGGGTGTGTTTCCCCCGGGGGGGGGGGCTTTTTTGCCGCCCCCTTCGCTGGCCGCCCCCGTCGCTGCCGCCCCCGTCGCTGCCGCCCCCGTCGCTGCCGCCCCCCGTCGCTGCCCGCCCCCGCGCTGCCGCCCCCGTTCGCTGCCGCCCCCGTGCGCTGCCGCCCCTCCTGTCCGCTGCCGCCCCCGTCGCTCCGCCCCCGTCGCTGCCCGCCCCGCGTCGCTTTTGCCGCCCGTCGCTGCCGCCCCCGGTCGCTGCCGCCCCCGTCGCTTGCCCCCCCTCGGACTGCCGCCCCGTCGCTTGGCCGCCCGTCGCTGCCGCCCCCGTGCGCTAGCCGCCCCGTCGCTGCCGACCCCCGTCGCATGCCGCCCCCCGTCGCTTGCCGCCCCGTCGCTGCCGCCCCCGTCGCTCCGGCCCCGCGTCCGGCCCCCGCTTGCGCCCCCGCGTCCGGCCCCCGCGTTCCGCAACCTCCGCGCCCTTGCCCCGCGCCCTGCTCACCGCGCGTCCCGACCCCGCGTCCCGGCCCGCGTCCCGGCCCCGCGTCCCGGGCCCCGCGTGCCCGGCCCCGCGTCCCGGCCCCGCGTCCCGGCCCCGCCGTTCCCCGCCCCCGTCCCGGCCCCGCGTCGCCCGCCCGCGCGTCCCGGCCCCGCGTCCCGCCCGCTGCGTCCCGCCCCGGTCCGCCCGCCGCGTCCACGCCCGCCGCCCTCGCGTCCCGCCCGTCGTTCCTGCTTATCTCCCCGCGTCCCAACCGCGTCGGAGCCCCTCGCTGCCCCGAGCACTTCCGAGACGGCAGGCTGCCCGTCCGATGGCCTTTACGGTAAGGGGCGCCCCGTCGCTCGTCTCAATCGAAGGCCTCGGCTTCCACCTCGCCTCTCCCTGAACTCCTACTCTCGGTTTGCGTTGGCTCGCGCTCATCTCTGGGGGGGGAGCGAGCAAAGCGGGCGGCCGGCTGGAAAAGAAAGCCAAGCCACCCCTTTTCGCGTGGTTTACGCCCATGGGCAGTTAGTGTAGTTTCTTATTTAGGACTGAGACTCCGAAATTGGGGTAAAAAAAGAAGTGGAGTTACAGAAGTGATGTTTTGTTTCGAACATTTCTACTCGTAATATTCTCGTCGTTCGAAGTTTCGCTCCCTGCTTAAGGCCGCACTTCGCATCACTTCCCGCAAATAACCGGCCCTCTGCCCTTCAAGCTTCAGTTGAGACGCACGATTCGTGGAGGGGCAAACAGCTCGTTTGTAAAAGGGAAACAACGGTGTTCTGCTGGTTTCTACACATTGTATAGGAGTGTGACTTACGAATTCTTGACTCTTTCCAATTTTGAGAAAAAATAAAAGATATTACAAAAACACGCTTTTTCTGCGAAACCTTTGAGTCCTAAAACATCCTCATCAATCGAAGGTCCTCTCACGCTTTCCCAGTCAAGGACTCGCCTTGCCCCACTTCTCAATCACATTATTCTCTGTCTCGCGCTCTTTAGTTGCAAGATTCGAATACTATTTTAAACGCCCTTGTTCAATTTTCTTTGATTTATTCGTAGCCAGGTTATTCCTCGTTTATCTAAGAGTGTTTACAAATCACAGAGTCTTCCTTGTATAAAATAAGATACGGCTATGATACAAAAACTCCAATTTTTATTTTCTTTTTTTCCCTTCCGTTCTTTTTTCTCCCTTTCCTTCTTTTATTATTTTTTTCATTTTTCAACGGAAAGTTTCATATGCTACAACATCGACAAACTAAATATCTTTCTCTCTCTTGTTCACATCCAATCCCAAGTCTCGTTTTGCCTCGCCTCTCCTAAACTACCACGCCCCCGCTTTCACGGTTCACTTGCATTACACGATACGGAATGGGAGGCGCGTGGTATATCTCTAAAAGGAAGCGGCCAGTTTTACGTATCTGGTAAGATACACTCTGTTCAGTCACGATAACAATTATTTTGACACTATTTCTGCCAAATATAACTGTGGGGCGTTGTCCATGAGGAACATACAGACGCAGTAGAAACTGTGTAAAAATGATTTGCATTCATCAGACAATCGGTGTTAAGGTTTTTGTGTTGGCGCAGAGATATTTCCTATTATTTTTGCCATTACTCTAACGAGAGAATGTTTGCATGGCACCGATTTATGTAGTAACAAGGACAAGTACACTTCAATTCTTCCATTTAAAGAAACATACCTTATATAAATTATTTGATTAAGGATCGTTGTTCGCAAATTTAGTGGAAAGATCGTTCAAAGTGCCATTTTGTTTTTGGTTCCTACTGCACGGATATTCGTTTTTGTGGACTGTTTGAACTGCATGTTGAAGTTGTTTCAATTTTCAACATTTGAATTTTTGAATCTTGATTTTTTTATATTCTCTTATGATTTTTCTGCATGTTTTGTATCAAGTCTTACAATATATTATCTTTAATGACGTATCGGAACAAAGTAAATAATTATCCCTAAACTTCAAATGCAGTCACTAAACTGACACTTCCGAGGTACTAACACTTGGCGCTCGGCTCATTATACTGGAGTAAAGATATATTTCATAGAGCGAAGCGCTCTTTCGCGATGTTCTACTGTTTTGAAAACCCAAAATAATCGTCCACTGGTCTGAACGAAGCTTATTTGGCCTCCAAGACTTCAGTTTCACCTTGCACAAAGTGATGTGAATCACCAGGTTTCGCAACGGAGTGCCTTCTTGCTCCATACCGTTACAGGAGTTAACGGAATAAGAGTGGGTACATGTGACATCATGGACAAAAGCAAGAGTCCATGGGACGAAAACGCAGATCATCCTCGCTGTCAACTGACAAAAGACATTCAAAACTGATCCGTTCACTAATAAAACGTTGCCGACTATGTTTTGGGCTACAGCTTGAATTCAGCACCAGGGTATAGATAGTAAATGTTGGCACACTAGAACTCTGGCGAAACGCAATTGCAAAAAGCGTCCTGGACTTTTGCTTCCCATGTGCCCTGTTACTGCCAGAATACTTACGAAATGCACGTACAGCTAAATTCAGGAGTTACTTTGTCCTTGTACTTTTGTTGGGACGTTCTCATCCATCTTTCATGCTAAATCTCGCAATTAAGTGATGTCCATCCCCTTGGGCTACTTGAAGCATTTAGTAGTTAGTTTATAACCGATGAGTAAGTTTAGCATTTCATGAGGATCTCATTTCACGGTTCATGTTTTTCCATATCATCATTTATGCTTGGGTCTACCTCAGAAACAAATATTCGGGCACATAAACTGACTACAATGAAAAGTAACGATAATGTTCAGCCCATCCCTAACACCTATACATTAGTGTATGAGGCTGCGCACTATATAATGCCCATAAGAACACTTGTATGCTTAGTATTTCATTCACCCTCGAATGTAGGTGGCGAGACTTTCGACTACTCGTTTATTTGGAATCGTCAAGATTATAAAGGGGAAAACGTCGTTCCTCACATCCATTTTTCGTCTTTGAATTCTCCAACTCCTAATAAATCTTCGTCGATCGAGTGTCAACCCCCACTCCCTGCCCCAAAGACCACGCCTCACGTCTCCTCCGAGGCAACCGAGCCCCCTCCTCGTGCACCGTCTACAGCGTCTCCGCGGGAAGTTCTTCTTTAAAGGAATCGTTCGCAAGTTTTCAAGTGGAAGATTACTCCCAGATAGATTTCTTCACGGCTAACATAATTTCTGGAGGAACAATCAAAATCATCCATTTACGCATTGGGAACGATCAAAACCTACTAGTTTATTCATCTGGCTGTCGTCTATGTTCCCATACGCTTTGCCTGATACCTTTTCAAAATCTGGTTTGCGAGTAGTATGTTCTTATTTGAAAAATTACAAAGAAGGACATAATTGTTCTAAAGTATGTTTTTTACTCTGAATTACACCGTCTAAATTTGGCGTTTTCCTGTTTTGGCATTGCAATGTGTTTTAATATTGTGGGGTTTAAATTATTAATACGACATATTTTGAATATATAGACAAAGGACTTATGATTTTTGTGAGTGATTGGTTTCTTTAATTTGTCATCTGCAGAAAACGGAACCACTTTGTAGCAAAAGGATCCACTTTGTCATCTCCAGCAAACGCAAACTAATGCACTTGTAATAATCACGTTGTTGGTTGCTTTACTGCCACTTTTTGTTCTTAATTGAGACCATGCATTCCCCGTGATCTCTAGCATCCGAGTTATTCAGAGTTTCAAACACCATAATTTTCATAGCGAGTATGCTGTATTTTCACATGTGTGACTGTTTTAGCAAAACTCTGTTCCAGTTTTGAAAGAGCTATGTTTTTGCGTAATGAATATCTGAATGAATCAATAATATCAACTTGAACCTTCAATTTTTAGTCCATAGTTGTTTCTTTTTTTAATTTATAGTTTTTTAATCTATCGTTGACGGATTTTAATTTTTGTAACGTCAAATAGATTGTTGTTTTTGTCACTCCTTAGTACACTGGTGCATGGCGGGTTGCGGCACAGCGTTGCCGGTGCGGGCGGGGCATGGTCGCAGGGACGGAGACAGGGGCGGGGGAGTCGAGGAGGGAGGCTCAAGCCTTGCGAGATAAAGCGGGGAAGGATGAAGCAGATTTGGCGAAGATTTAAGTAAAATCACTTCCATTTTTACACTGTAGATAGGCAGAAAGAAGAATCAATTCTAACGAATTTCGATAAACGAATATCCGGCAACACCGTGTTACTCTCTATAGTCCTTCATTTTTGTAGGTTGTGTTTTAATAAAACTGTCTTATTGCTGCAAATGAGCATACGCAATGAACATACGCAACGAGTATAGCAGTGAATAAAAAAGGTTAAAAATAAGTGTTAAACGATGCAAATGTACAAATATTAAAAAAGATGAATAATGCAAACAAAAATAAAATAAAACCACACAGACAAGTATAAACAATCGATAAAAATTGCTCATCTTATCTCTTCACTTCACTTGACTTCACTGCATGCCCCTTCGATACTCGGTAATCAATACATTAACGCTAAGAATATGCATCGCACCTTGTCCGCACTTTTGTTGACCTTCAGTGCAGGCTTTGGTTTCACTTCTTTTCAGAATATCCTCTTTGGTGGGATTTTTTTACCTGGCTTCTAATAAGTGAATAAAGACACGCGGAATATAAAAAAAGTAAATAGGATAAGACCCGGCGCGGCGCCTGGCGATAGGGTGGAGCAGGCGGCGCTGGCATCTGCCCCTCGCAGCCTTCACATCCTCCCACGTCGCGCCGCGCCGCCCCGCGCGGTGCCGGGGGGAAAGCGTTGACGGAGAGCTTCGGAGATTCAGAATCGATTCGGCACACGACGCCCACGCCCAAATCCGCCTCGGCGACAGGAGATGCCGTCGGTGCGGTGGCGCGACTGGGGCCCCCACCCTACCCTACCCTCTACCCCTACCCTCTAAACCTCACCCTACCTCACCTACCCGCTACCCGTGCTGCCCCTACACCTACGCCCCGTACCCTACCTTACCCTCGCTGGCCCCTACCCTAACCTCTCGCGCCCCTACCCTAACCCTTCTCCCCTCTCTGAAAACCCCCACCACCCTAACCTGCTCCTACCCTACCTACCCCTACCGCTACCCTACCTACCTGCCCCTACCCCTACCCCTACCCTACTCTATTAGCCTACCCCTACCCCTACCCTGCCCCTACGCTACGCCTTCCTACTCTCCCCACCTACCACCCTACCCTACCTACCCTAGCCTAACACTACCCTACCCTACCCTACTCCTACTCCTACCACCCTGCTCCTACCTACCTTCCCCCCTACTCTACCCCCACCGCTACCCTCCCTACCCCGCTACCTACCGCCGGACAATTTACACTCATCACCCTGTCTTCTTTCCTCTCTCTCATCGTTTCGTTCATAATTCCCACCCCGTCGTTTAATTCTTGTTCACAGCTAGCCCATCCGCCGTTCATACTTTGCCTTTTCGTTAACACTTTTCGGCTCTTTCGTTCCAACCTCTTACCTCTTCATTCTTTCGCTCATA